CACTGAAGATTTTATCATTCTACTGGATAAAGAACCCCAATTAGTTAAGGTACTGTCAGAAAATAAAAGGAATATACAATGGGTACTGGGAGATAGGAGTTCATGAGTATTAACAGCAAGTACAGTCTTGTGAATGGTTGTAAGATCTAGGGCTCTTGTTTTTTTAATATACACATATATCTTTAATTACAGTGGGTATTCATCTCACAAGTAAAATACATAACTGATATAAACATGCAGTCTTAATTCTAACTGGCTTAGTTAGGTGCTTAAATCACCTAAAGAAGCCACTTTAAATGTGGTGTGGTGGTAACCTGAAGTGGGGCCAAGAAATGAATTACAAGGTGTGTGAATCTTTGTTTTCCTTTATGATCCACTAAACCCTTTCATTTAGGATAAACCTTCCTTTTTAGTTCAACCAAGGCATTTTGCTCAAAGAAGTCATCCCCAGATTCTATCTCTGGAAGGTAGCAACTTTCAGTTTTAGCCTCATAAAATACTAAATGTAAAATGAGAACTTGACAGGTTAGTTAGTATTAGTCTGCTCAAGCTCAGGTACAAGTATTACTGTGTGTATTGGTTAGAACTCTTTATTTTGCAAGCAACAAAAAACTCAAATTGAAGACATTTGGTTTGAGCAAAAACTTGACAGTTTAGGGATAGTTCTAGCTTCACAACTGTCCTGATAGGGGGCTCAAATGACGTGACCAGGACTCTTTTCTCCCTCTCTATTTATCAGCTTTGCTTTTGATTCTATTTTCTTTTTGTTTCTTTCATTTTTGCAAGTTTGATTCTATTTTCAAGAAGACTTGTCCCTCATGAACCTAATATGGCAGCTGGAAGCTCTGGGTTAAAAAGTTTAAGTGCAAAGGCTGGATTATTCTGCTGGGCCAACTCTTAACAGAATCCCACAGCCTAGATGCCCTAAATAACAGACATTTATTTTCTCACAGTTCTGGACGCTAAAAGTGCAAGATCAAGGTTGGTTTCTGGTGAGACCTCTCTTCTTGGATTGCAGATAGTCAGTCACCTTCTTGCTGTGTTCTCACATGGCCTTTCCTCTGTGTGCGCACAGAGCAGGGGTTGGGGAGGGGGAAGAGATTTATTCCTGTTGTCTCTTCCTCTTCTTATAAGAATAATAGCCCTATTAACAAGGACCCCACCCTTAAGACCTCATTTAACCTTCAAGGTCCTATCTCCAAATGTAGTCACATGGGAGTTAAGGCTTCAACATATGAATTTGGGGTGAGAAGAGAAACAATTTGGTCCATAACAGAGGTGGTTAACAAAATTCATCTTTCCCAGCAGTCCCAGTGAACAAATCTCATTATATTTCATTGGCTTGGATTCAGTCACATGCCTATCTTTGAATCAGTTACTATAACCAGGGTGATGGGATATCCTAGAGATGATGGGTAGGATTAGAATCCACATGGCTGGAAACAGAGGGAAAGATAAGCTTCCCAAAGAATATTCAGAGTGCTTTTGGCAGGAAAAGGAGAAAGGAATTGGTGATGGAAAGTTAACTAATACATAGCAATATTGGGATGGTGCACCCTTGCTCTGAGTGAGGACTGCACCTATTTAAAGGAAAAAAGAGTACAGCAATGAGGTTTATTAAGAGTTTAAGCTGGTGCTACACATTGCAGATCCAGGAGAGACTGTAGACTGGTTTTCATTATCATTATTACTATTGAACAGTCAAATCCTCCTTGGTACAGTTATTCATTTTGATATCTAATTATCACAGCAGCAGGTATGACAATTAAATTTCCTGATCTCTTTTCATGTGGCTCCTCTGTTTCTTTAGTTGGATCCTTATTCTCTTCCTGTTCCATGGAGCAGGACAATCGTCAAAGTGTCTTCTCTCTCTCCAAGCCTCTTTCCTTGATCTCAGCCATTCTCCAGGTTTCGGTGCCCACAACCTTGAGTATAACACCCAGAAATTTATCTCCCAGCTCATCCTGTGAATCCTGGAACTTTATTAGTCCATTTCTTATTTGCAGACTCTGTGCTTCAGAGTGTTGAGCTTGTTTTCATTTGACCCCAACAAAGATGAGCTTGCAGCTCTACTTAATAATATGAAGGAACAAGAAAGTCTAAGCCATCCTCGAGATAGGAATTTACTGTTTGGTAATTGTCTCTTCCACTAAATTCTAAGTTCCTTTAGCAGAGAAATTATTCATTTTTAGTACCAAAAACAATTATTCAATAAGTTCATGTCAAAATATATAACACTTTCAAAACAATGTCACATTCTCTTCTACAGTATTTCTGATAATCCCCTCATTTCTGCTAGAACAGAAGGAATGATGACAAGTTTACTATATCAGTCTATCCCGGTTCTGAACAGCTATAATATTATGAATTGTAATGGTGGTGGTGGTGGGTGTTGTTTCTCAGCTTCTAAATTCCCTCCCTCTGCTTGGTGAATCCACTACTCTGTGAGGAGGCAAAGTCCCACCTCTCCTTATGTAAACTGAAAATGACAGAGATACCTTTCTTTCCTGACTTTCGGTATTTAGGGCATGGTATGTATACCACAGCTGGGTATGGGGATCTGCATATGGAATCAGAAGTACTGTGTAAGTTATCCTAAGAAGCAGAGATGATCTAGAATTTACTTTACTTGTGACATCTAGCGTCCAGTGGTGGTATTGGCGGTATCCTATCCAGACTATTCCTGAAGAATGATCTTAATTATAATATGATAGCTTCTATGACTCTGGCAATGCTGTCCCCTCCCTGTGAATGCACTCCTCCTTAGCTCTGCCATCCTTCAAGGTCCTGCTTGAAGTGCCACCTGCACTGTGAAGGTTTAAAGAAATGTCTAGACAATATAGACCTCTCTTTTCACACAATGCCTTTAGAGTGGGGCACATACTACTCATATGGCATTTATATACAGCCCTGTAATTATAGATACATACATATATGTATGTATCTATTTTATCTATTTTAAATACATATATATATATATGTATTTAAAATCCTCTACTATATTGTAAGCATTCCAGACAGTAGTTGGGTTTACCATCTCTTTGAATTCCTTCCACTATGCCTAATACATGGCGGTCACTGAATAAACAGATTAAAATATATGTTATATTTCAAAAATAGAATTGAAAGAAACATTAATGTTAATATAGGGTCTACCTTCTATTGCAACAAAAGAGAAAAAAGAAGTTCAGATAGAACTTCTGAACTACCAGCCAGTTACAACTGGCCTTGGCTAGAACAGTGTCTTTCTGGCTCCTGAGTTAAACAATTTTTGTTACATGATAGGGAAAATGGAATTTGTTTCATTTATCCAAAAACATGGTGGTGATTACAAATGAATGAGCATGTGGCTCATCTGAGCCCCAGATGCATCTGCTAGGCTACACTGTGAGCAACTTGAAGGCATCATTGTTGCCAATGTTAAAACCCAGATTAACCCTTTGTGGTCTGGCCTAGCTCAGTGAAAGACAGAAGCCTGCAAAGGAAACTGAGAAGAGGAAAGCCAGGAGGCATGGAATTCCGAGTTAGAAAGACAGAAGCCTGCAAAGGAAACTAGAAGAGGAAAGTCAGGAGAGCGTGGAATTCCGAGTTATAAATAAAGACTCAGTGAGAGTGGTCAAGTCTGTCAAATGTCAAGAGAAGTAAGGACTAAATATTGACTACTGGATTTTGCAAGATAGAAATTCACCTCCTGGTGACATTTCACAGTATTGGTGGGTACCAAACCCTGGTTGAAGTGGTAGTGGGGGGGGGGAATAAAATGCAAGGAAATGGAGATAAGGGGTGTAAACTTTTTTTCCAGGAATTTTTGTTATACAGAGAAATGAACAAATGTGGTGGTAAGTTTCTGGTTGGGGTCAAGGAGGCTATGATTATTTGATAGAGACGACCCAATAGAGAAGGAAAAACTGATAATGAAAAAAAGAATTATAGCCAAGTTCTCAGATAGGCAAGAATTTTTGAATAATGAATAGGCATCAGGTTTAAAAAACATCATTATTTAAAACATATGTACACAAGAGCTTGGACTCTAGAATTAGAATGCATTAGTTCAAATTCCAGTTCTTCCCCTTGGACAAGACACCACTTTTCTGGGGCTTTGTTTTTCTCTGTAAAATTAGAAGGGTAATATCATCTAGCTCATAAGGCTGTTTGCGGGCTTAAATGAGATAATCTGTAAAATTTAGTACATAATGAGGGCTCATTTGGTAAAGCCATTATGGTAACTGTCATCCTGTCCTATAATGGTAACTGTGATTCTGTCTATATGATGCTTTTAGGCACAGTCACACCGGTTCTGGTTACTGGAACTATAAGACAGATACTAGAGGAAGGGTCCTCAGAGGGCACACTGGCGATCCACCGGTAGTGGGGTGTATGAAGTCCGCACAGTGGCGACACGCTGATCCTCCACCGCCAGGCTTAGCGACACTGCCCCTCCAGAAGCACTGTCGTATAAAAACAGCAGACATGCAGAACTTGGCAACACGGCAACTAAACGCAGTTACCTACAAGACACCCAGGAAACGAACCCCAGGTAAAATTGAGCCGAGGCGCTGTCTGCGCTTGCGCCGGGCCCCAGTCTCCCCACACGCACCTGCGCAGTCTCTGCAGGGGGCGGGGCGCTCCGCTGGCCGGGTCTCCCAGTTTCTCCTTAACGCGCAATGTGAGCGCCAAGTCTCGCGAGAGCTAGGTTCTCGCGGGAACTGCATTCAAAAAGCCCTGGCGCTTACTCGAGAGCTTGCGGAGTGAATGAACCGGCGTCTCTGTGGTGAAGTGGAATTAACGTCCACTAATCTGGACGCTCTGAAATTATTAGCCGCCAGTTGCCGCAGCGGGGGAGCGGGTGTGGAGAAAGGTAGGGGCAGGGGGCTTGATGGGAGGTGGGTGTGGAGAAGAGCGGTGGGGAATGGAAAGGTGAGAGGGCATTAAGGAAACTTGGGGCATGGGTGTCGGCGGAGGCTTTTAGCTGAAACACCTTCTTCCCGGAACTCTGAGGTCTTATAACCTGGGTTTCGAGCCGGTTCCAATCTTCTGTTGGACCGTCTCTCCGCCATCGGAGATTGTGGATGACTGTGGAAGGGCGGGTCCGCTGCTGGGCCCTAAAAATGGTAACAGCCACTGGATCTGCGCTGCCCGGTAGGATAGCCACTAGCCTCTTGTGGGAGCCAAGACTGAGAAAGTCCGCAAATGTAAAATACACACTGGATTTCAAAGATTGTGTTAGGGTGTGAAGTCCATAGGCGGGGGGAGAAAGAATTCCCAGACCGTGGGTAGGATATACAAAAGTAAAAGTTTATTCATTTTCCTGAGAAAGAGTGGCCGCGACACACGAATCGAGGAAAGAAATGTCGGGCGGTGAGGAAAGTTGCTTGGTGCTTTTAAGAGTAGAAATGTTTTTTTTTCCCTATGCTTCAGGGGACTGACAGCAAAAGCGGCTGTGAGGCTGCTGTGATCGCCTTTTCTATTTCTCACCTAGCAGATGGGTAGCAGAAATTAGTTTTTTCTTTCTTCTTGACGGCGGGAGGCATCTGGTACTGTCTCTTCTTGAGTAAGCAGGGAAGTTCTCCTGTCCACTCAGGAACTTTTTCAAGGCTGAAAAAGAACTCAAAAGATAACAAGTTAGACCACACGTGTTTTAATTAAACAAAGGGTAGTTGTGTTGTGAGTTTATTTCCCTTACTTTTTTTTTGATAGCTTATTTTCCTCTGTTAGGTAGGTTATTAACAAGGCCACCTTCCAGATAGTACACAAAAAGAGTAGTATCTCATTACTTTTTATAATGACTACCTGTTGAAATGGTAATATTTTGTGTGTATTTGGTTAAATAAAATGTTTAAAACTGTGGCTCCTAGAAAATTTAAAATCACATAAATGATTAGCGTTATATTTCTGTTGGACAGCACTCACTCCCTCAGCAGGGTGTCAAATTCTGTCCTAATTGCTTTCATGCATTATTTGATTTAATCTTCTCAACAACCCTATTAGGTGGGTGTTATTGTCCTTGTTATATAGATGATGAAACAAGCCACTAAATAACTTGTCTAAGTTCATGCAGCCAGTGAGTATTGGAGGTGGATAAGAACTGAAGCAGCATAATTCCCAGAGTTTCCCTATCTCCAAAATGCTGCTTTTGTGTGGCAGGACAGAAAAGTGGTTGGAGCACCAGACTTTGCAGCTATATTCTGGTTCCCATCTCACTTAGCCACTTACTAGCTGATGATCTTAGACAAGTTACTTAACCTTTTTGTGCCTCAGTTTGCATATGTGTAAAATGGAAGAAATACCTTGTACCTCATTGGGTTGTTGAAAGGATTGAATAAGATTATACAAAGGACCACAATGTCTGGCACACATTGGCTGTAGTTATTCAAGGGAGGTTACTCTAGGTTGAATAAGTTAACTTTTTGTCATCCATTAGATCTCTGCTGAAAAGACACCTCCTCAGGGAAGTTGTTCTTACCCTCCTATGGTACCTCCCCCCACCTCTTAGATTAGGATAGCTCCCCCTTGTTATAGGTTCATACATTTCTCCCTCTTGAATTTATCACACTTGTAACTGTACATATTGATGTACTACCTTTCTACAATAGACTGTAAGACTCAAAAAGACAGGAATATTGTTTGGGATTACCATCGTATTATATATTCAGCATTAGTACAGTGTCTGAGACATAATAGGAATTCTAGCAAATCTTTTGAATGGATGAGAGCTAATTTTTTGGCTTTCCTGGATATGCCTGGCTGGACTATCTTGAGGTTAATACTATTTTTTCCTTTGGCAGATAGAGAGGACAATACACAGTTAACTTAGGCTCATCAAGAAAATGATAAAGATAATGTATTTGAAGCACTTGGTTTGGTAAATGATAAAACTTCAACAAATACAAGTTATTAACAGTGCAACAATTAGCTGACTGGCCCTACCATGTACAAGCTTTGAAAAGATCTTGCACTTTGAGTGATAACTGCCAGCCTGGGATAACCTAGAATACCCTTTTTTCTTTCTTAAAACTCTATATTTCCTTCCTTGGCTTCATTCTCAAAGACCTTGCTTCCCAATTCATTGATAAACTGAAGCAATTAGAAGCACTTACACAGATTCCTACATGTGATGCCTACTTACCATCATTTGTACTCCTATGTTTTGCTTTCCTTTACTTTAGATGACGTACCCATGTTGCTGTCTAAAACCAATGCCTCTACATGAAACCTCATCCTCTTTATTCAGAGACATCACTTTAGCAGTTCTCCAGTGTCTGTCATCAGTTTTTCTTCTCTGGATTTTTCCCATGGCCTACCTAAGAAACAAAATACTTGTTCCTACTTCCTCTCCAGCTACTGCTCCATTTATCTGCTCTCCTTTGCAGCAGAATTATACTTGCTATCATCTCCTACCATTCTCAAACCCATTCCAGTCAGGTTTTGCCCCCTTACCTGTATATCAAAACTATTGTTGTGGTCTCCAGTGACCTCCATGAATTCAAAGCCAATCACCAATTTTCTGTTCTTATTTGACTTAGCAGCAGCATTTGGCATGATTGTTCACTCCTATCTCCTTAATATATTTTGTTTATTGGCTTCTGAGACAACACCTTATTATGGTTTTCCTCCTATCTCACTGGTCACAACTAAATATACTTTGCTGTCTTCTTCCCTACTTAATAACAGGGTTCAATCCTTTGTCCTTTTCTCTCTAGTTATGCTCATCCTCTAGTGATATCAAGTCTCAAGGACTTATGCTGATAACTCCCAAATTTATATCTCTGGTCCAGACCCCTCTCTTACCCTTATATCCAACCGCTTACTTGACATCTTTCATGCTCTAAATTTGAATTCTTGGTCTTCTTTCCTGATGGCCACTCCGGTTTTACTAGTTGCTCAGGCCAGAAGGCTTGGGGGCACTTGTAAATTTTCTTTTTCACACATCCCACGTTCCATTTGTCAGAAAATCATATTGACTTCAAATCATATATAGAATCTGGCCATTTCTCAATGATTCCTATGCTACCACCCTAGTCTGAGCCATTGTCTCACATGGTCCCTCTGCTTCCAACCTTGTTCCCTCTTAACTGTTAAACATAGCAGCCAAAATGATCCTGTTAAATTGTCAGATTGTCTACTGCAGACTTTGGAATGACTTTCCATTTCACCCAGAGTTGAAGCCAAAGTCTTTATAATGGCCTGATTTGCCTATTTTCCTTATTATCTGTGACCTAAATTCTATCTTGTTCATTCCTTGGGCTTCCTTCTGCATTAGGGTTTTTCATAAGGAAGTATACCTAGAACATTCTTCCCTTAAATAGTTGCATGGCTAATTCTCTTATATTCTGCCTCCTAGTTACACTACCCATCTCTTCATTCAGCTCCCTTATCCTGTTGTGTTCTTTTTTCCATTTCTTCTTTCTAATATAATTATTATGCTATTATATATTGTTTTCTTCTCTTGGAATGTAGGTTTCGTGAAGGAGGGACTTTTGTCCATTTTGTTCCCTAATGAATCTGGAATGCCCAGAATAGAGCTTAGCACATAAGGCATTCAAAAAATACTTGTTCAGTACATGACTACATTGACTCGAGACAAGAGCGAACATCATAATAATGACCTAGTGGCTTTGAAGGAAAAGGTGACTTTGAGTCTGGCTTAAGAGATTGGGGCCAAGTAGGAAAAAATAATGAGTAAGATTGAGTTAAAGTAGAATGTATCTTCAAAAAGTTAACACCGTTGTGAAAAATTACAGACCTAGTATTCCTTGTTTTACCTTATGAACCTTATTAAAAGCTACCTTTCTGTATTTTAGGTAGCAGTGATGCTAAGATAAGTTTCTTGATTTTTTAAATTCTCTTAACTTCAATTACATGGATAGTGGTACAATTCTGAGACCAATCCTACCTTAACATTTAAGGAGGCTTAGCACACAACAACTAAATAGTTTCCTGATGGTGAATTTTGTAGAAGCAAAATTAAATGTATTCTGCTCTGTTCTTTTTGAGTTGGTCTCAAATCAAGTAATAATATTGTCACAAAAATTCTTGCTCTTGAAACAAGAATGCAAATTTGACTACAAGTTAAGAAAAAATACTGTGTGCATATGGCAGTATTATTGAGTGAATATATTGCTTCTATTGATATCATTGCATGGAGCTTTTTATTTAAGCTTAAGTAGTCTTATTTCCTCCATTTACAGTAGGCTAAAAACAGGAAAAACATGGAGACAGATGTAGTTACAAGTCTTCGACGCAAGCTCAAAGAGGCTGAAGAAGAGCGACTAAAAGCTGCACAGTATGGTTTGCAACTAGTGGAGAGCCAAAATGAACTACAGAATCAATTGGATAAATGTCATAATGAAATGATGACCATGACTGAGGTAGGACTTTAGACTTCTCTCTCTGCAAGGATGTGCTTACCTATTGAAGATTTGTCTTGTTTAGCATTATTACTATTTTATACTCTGAGGATTTTAGATCTAGATCCTATCTACCCCATCCTCATTAAATGATAATGAGCTAAATGAATCCCTATTACTCATTTTTTTTTTTGCAATTCTACCAGCTTTTTATTTATTTATTTATTTAATTTTGAGACAAGGTCTTACTTTGTTGAACAGGCTAGAGTGAGTGCTGTGGCGTCAGCCTAGCTCATAGCAACCTCAAACTCCTGGGCTCAAGCAATCCTACTGCTTCAGCCTCCCAAGTAGCTGAGACTATAGGTATGCGCCACCATGCCGGCTAATTTTTTCTCTATGTATTAGTTGGCCAATTAATTTCTTTCTATTTATAGTAGAGACGGGGTTTCGCTCTTGCTCAGGCTGGTTTTGAACTCCTGATCTTGAGCAGTCCTCCGGCCTCGGCCTCCCAGAGTGCTAGGATTATAGGCATGAGCCACTGTGCCCAGCCAGCTTTTTATTTCTTAAATAAGTGGCATTCCCTGTTACTCTTTCCAACCCAATGTGTTCTGTGTTTGACAAATCAAGTTATGATTGCTCTTTTTTTTACCACATTTAGCACCAGATTTTATCTGTGCTCTTCCTAGGTGACCGTACTTGTTTCAGGCCTCTAAATAACATCCAAATGCCCCATGACATTATATCAAGCTCTTAGTTCTTCCCTGAAGTCTAAGTTTGTGTTCAACTGCCCAGTAATGGACATCTCAAATTAACATATACAAATAGAATAGTTGATTCCTTGTTCACTTACCAAGTATTCTCTTACTATTTTTTTTAACTTATTTAGTGAATGTAATAGCATTCATTCAATTCCTTGAGCCAAAAATCTAGGAGTTTTTCTCAATATCTTTCCCTAATTTTTTTTATTCATACATATTAGATGTATATATTTTGAGGGTATGTGTGATAATTTGTTACATTTGTGTAATCAAATAAGGATATTTGGAATATCTATCACCTTCAATATTTATCTTTATGCTAGGAACATTTGAATTGTTCTCTTCTACCTATTATGAAATGTACAATTAATGGTCACTCTACTGATCTGTTAAACACCAGTTCTTATTTTTTCTATCTAAGTGTATATTTGTAGCCATTAATCAACTTCTCTTCATCTCCCCGTCCTCCCTACCTTTCCCAGGCCCTCATTTCTCACATCTAATTCATCAGTAAATTTTGAGAACTTGACCTAGGAGGTATCTATCTACACTACTGCCGGTCTAGTCCAGACCTCCATCGTCTCTCCCTAGAGTGACTACTGAGCCTTCCGACCAGGTTGTCTGCTTCCATTGTTGCTGTTCATAACAGTGTATTCTTTACACAGCAGCCAAGTGGTCTTGGAAAAATACACAAAAGATTATGTCACATCCTTGATAAAAACCACACAACAGCTTTTGATTATATTTACAACAAAATCTGAGCTCCTTACTTGGGTTGGTAGATCCCTATGTGATCTGATCCCTGTCAGACTTGTGATCTCATTTCCAACTGCTTTCCCTTATTCTTGGCTGTACTATCCCCACTTTATGGACATTACACTAGCTGTTGCCTTTTTCTGAGTTGTTCATCCCCCTACTGCTCATAGATTGAATCCTCAAACTTCAAGTTTCAGTTAAATGTCACCTCAACAGAGAAGCCAACCCTGACTATGTAATGTAAAGTTGCCATTATTGCCACTCTTTTAAATCTCCACATCACTAATTATCTCCAGATTATAAGATCCTTGAGAGAGGGAATTTTGTCTGTCTTGTCACTGCTGTATCCCTAATGCCTGGCACACAAATATTTATGGAAAAAATAAATGGACAAATCAGTTTAATTATAAAAGCTCAGTAATATATTTAAATTTGGATCTCAATATTATAAATATAACAGGTAAAAAAAATAGAGAACTTAAAAATAACTAATAATGACGTTTGTTTTTCCATGTAGTATTGTTCCGCACCAAGAATTTAATGCCAAGTCATAAAGGCAAAGTGAAGATTACAAATCTCTCTAATAGTAAAAAATAACACTGTGTTATACTTTATCATTCTGAGTAATAACTTGTCAAATTTCAGTGTTATTTTAACAGTTTGCCGCCTTTTAAACTAGAATGGCTTTGGGGAGAATGATATGAATGTTTTGAGTCTTTTTTCCTCTAATTTAATTGAATTTTTATCTTTTAAAAGTTTGTTTTAGGAGTTCAAACATACCTTTTATTAATCTGTAAACTTTGTTGTGAGTAAGCAAAAGCACTTTTAATTACTCATTTGTCTCAGCACTGTTTTCATTCTGATAGACATTTTGTGAACATCTCTCAGGTGACTGACTACATTCTAAAAGTAAGGGCTAATTCGGTATTTATCTTTTCACCTTTTTTTTTTCTTTTTAGCTACTTATTTTGTTCAGAACTACAAGTAGAGTATTTCATTATCAAACTAATAATTCCACTAGGAAAACGTAAGTGCTATTAACTTCTTTCTTTTTTTCTAGCAGAGATTACTTGACATGTTGACATACCATGGAGCATTTTTTACTTCTTTGATAGGACGTAGAACCAGTTAGGTATCTCAAGCATAGTCTCAAGATATACCTCACAGGTTAAGACTGATTAGCCACAAAGTCATTTGAGGTTTAACATGTGATTGTTACTTGGAAAGCAGCACATGTGTGAAGCAGAAACAAAACAGTTGAAGATGAAAACTAATTGTACGTAATGGCTTTAAACTATTTTTATGTAATTGAATTGTAATTGAATATGTTTTCAGAATTATGAACAAGAAAAATATACCCTTCAGAGAGAAGTTGAACTTAAGAGTCGAATGTTGGAAAGTTTGAGCTGTGAATGTGAAGCTATTAAACAACAACAAAAAATAGACCTGGATAAATTAAAACAACAACTAAACAGAAGCCATGGACAAGAAGTGAATGAACTAAAAAATAAGGTTTGAATATCTGTATTTCAGAAGAAAAATATTCCACGTTTATACAGCCATCTATAAACTTTAGATGAGAAAGATTTTCTTATAACTACCAGCTATGCAAAATAGCCAAGATCAAGGTCTATATTATCTTAATATTGGGAGTGGGAACACTGAGAAACAGGAGTTTACCTAAGAGCTTTGTGTAAATAATATTATACTAATTGACCACTTCGGTACCGTGCTCACCGGCCGAGAAACCTTGTCCACAGCCAGCACTCTTAGTCCACACGATAGTTTGTGCTGTGCATTGATGACGAATCCATTTTGCTCTTGTGTGATGAGGAAAGCTTTAAAGCACTGAAAGCTTGTTTTACTTTACAGGCACCTTTACTTGTAATGTAAATCAGAATAGGTAACATACACATATATGTTTTTATTCCATTATTTTTAAGTGTTCACAATTTTATTTTGATAAATGAAAAATTAGAAAAGTCAAGTTTTGTTATTAACACTGAAGTCGACGCTGGGCTGTGCGCATTCATCTGTGGCTATCGACTATCGTTGACGCTGGTGCCGAAGTGGTTAAATAGTTATTTAATTTTAGTAACTGGATATTTGTGATGAAGTTTTATTAATAGTGACCAGCATGGCCTCCTTGCGTAGTACAGCAGTCCCCTTGCAGAAAGACTAGTCCCCTGGCCTTTACTGCAGCTAGTGGTATGCTTTGTAATTCTGTAAAACAAATCAGTAGTTTCTTATAAATTGATATACATTAGAAATGGCACTTCATAATTTGTTTACTGAAGATTAATATATATGATCCAATTCTCACAATAACTCTGTAAGAAAGATATCATATAACATGAGAGAGCCAATGTCTAGACAGATTGAGCAAATTGGACATAATTAGAGCTAGAAATTAAGATTTGAACTGAGGCTGTCTGACTCCAAAGGCTATGTTACTGAATAACCATGCATAGTCTAACAACATGTCATGATAATACTAGCTCCATTTTTCAAACATAAATCCAACAGTTGGTTAGTGATCATCCATTCCCTTTTGGTACTCTCAACTATGCAGTGCTTTCAGGTTGCTTCTAAGGAATCTAGAACTTTTAACATGGATCTTCTTTATGGATAGTCTGTGCTCTAATTTTTCCAGACACCTCTCTACCAAAACTCACCTAACTTTTGTCCTATCTTCCCAGAAGCCTGTTTTCCAATTTTCAAATTTTTGGCATCTTTTTTCTATTTCTATATACCACATATTACTTAATTTCTCATTAAATTAACTCTTTTTAAATGTTTTCTCATTTTTAAGTAGTGATATCAATGACATTACATATTTAAGCTGGTTTATTTTTTCTAATGTGCAGTAAAACAAATATAACTAAATATGCTTTTGTGTAATACATAGAATCCTCTTGCATACCACTCTGGCAGATAGTGATCCAGCTTGTCTGAAACTAATCTAAGACACTAATAACTGGTAATGATGTATTCTTTGTTTTCCTCTGGATTTTTTTTTATTTTAGCAGTAGCTTTCATTATATAGGGGGGAAAAGAAGGGCTAAGGCAAGGCCAATTATAGAGATGGCTTTTTTTTTGGTAGAGCAAAGAGTAAATTAGTCAAATATTTTTAATTTTACTGATGTTCTCAAATCACTTGTGCCAAAATTTGGAGTTTTATTTGATATCTTTTTTCCTCTTATTTCTCAAATTTAATCCATCAGCAAGTTCTAAGAACTTGACCTGCAAAACATCTACCTACCCTACTGCCACTATTCTAGACCTCCATCATCTTTCCCCTTGACTACTACTGTAGACTTCTAATCAGGTTGCCTGCTTTCATTGTTTCTGTTCATGCCATTCATTTCTTCACACACAGGCCGAGTGGTCAGCAACACAGGGCCTTCAGGTGGCTTCCAAGGAATACAGACCTACTCTGATTAGTTGTATGGATTATTTCTGTTTATAAGACAAAGTATGTCATTATCTATTAAAAGATGCCTAGCCTTGGCCAAATAGGAAATCCCAATAGTCTCATTATGCAGTCATTGATGTTTTTCAGAAAGAAAGTATCTTTATAAAGTATTTTTATAAGACTCTTTTTTTCTTTGCTTTAGATAGAAAAACTAAAAGTGGAATTAGATGAAGCTAGGCTTAGTGAAAAGCAGCTAAAGCACCAAGTAGATCATCAAAAGGAACTCCTCTCTTGTAAATCAGAGGAACTGCGGACAATGTCTGAGCGTGTACACGAAAGCATGTCTTCAGACATGCTGGCTCTTCAAATTGAATTGACAGAAATGGAGAATACAAAGGTAATTTTTATGGCATCTGTTTCTCAGGGTTTTTTTTTTTCCTTTTATATTTTTACATGTACTAATTCTTAAGAGCTAGTTTGAAGTCTGAATTATTCTTGACGTAACTTTCATCTAACTAATTAAATGTTTTGTGGAGGTTTCAGAATACAGTTTTAGATTACATGATTATGTAAGGCAGGCTTTACCATTAAATTAATGAAACTTCTGGAAGAATTTAAGAGGCATGTACTCTGATCCTAGTTTGTGTTATAAAATGTTGGTGCAACAGAAGTGGAGATACATGTGAACATGGTTTTTTCATTGCAGACTAAGGTTAATTAATTAAAAATTAAAGCCTTAAATTTATAGGGGAAAAAAGGCAGCCTCTAAATACTTTTATTTTGTTCCCTGCTGAAAAATTTAGCAGTTTTTATTATTTTAATATACACCTGACAACATTTGACTAATTCATTAGTTTTAATTTTGGATGTGAACCACTACTAATAGACAAGCTGAGCAGCTGCTAAATGAAAGATTATTCAAGAGATTTTTCTCTTTTTAAATCCCTGTTGAATAGGCCACCCTCAAAGAAGAAGTGAATGAACTACATTACAGACAAGAACAGCTAGAACGTCTGAATACTAACTTAATGCGCCAGGTAGACCGGCTCAAGGAAGAAAAAGATGAGCGAGAAAAAGAAGCAGTTTCTTACTGTAATGCCTTAGAGGTATTATGATTATAGTAACATCGTCTTTTTCTATTTATAATAAGTTGTTTTCTTTATAATCTAATCTCTATTAGCTAAATTGTTTTCTTTTGAATTCAGAAAGCTCGTGTAGCAAATCAGGATCTTCAGGTGCAGTTGGACCAGGCACTCCAGCGAGACTTGGATCCCAATAGTAAAGGCAACTCTTTGTTTGCAGAGGTACTTATACATATTCTGATGATTAAATTGGCATTTCATTTACTGCAAGAACAATTAAACCTGTTAATATTTTCTAGGTGGAAGATCGAAGGGCCGCAATGGAACGTCAGTTTATCAGTATGAAAGTCAAGTATCAGTCGCTAAAGAAGCAAAATGTATTTAATAGAGAACAGATGCAAAGAATGAAGGTATAGAATTATCACTACAAATGGCTTATTAAACCTACTTTGTGTCAGCCTTACATGTACAAATATATCAAAAAAAGATATATTTTTTCCTGCACAGAGTGTATTTATATAGTTTTTTCTAGGACTGTGATTTCAAAAACAATGTTTTTATTTGTTTATTTATTTTTTTTAAGGCAGAGTCTCACTTTGTTGCCCAGGCTAGAGTGAGTGCCGTGGCATTAGCCTAGCTCACAGCAACCTCAAACTCCTGGGCTCAAGCAATCCTCCTGCCTCAGCCTCCCAAGTAGCTGGGACTACAGGCATGTGCCACCATGCCCGGCTAATTTTTTTTCTATATATATATTAGTTGGCAATTAATTTCTTTCTATTTTTAGTAGAGACGGGGTCTCGCTCTTGCTCAGGTTTTGAACTCCTGACCTCGAGCAATCTGCCCGCCTCAGCCTCTCCCCAAAAAATGTTTTTAAATTCATCAAAAGATCCATTTATATTTTTTTAAAATTAATCTTGGAATAAAGATTTAGTAATAGTGTATTTAGCAACTATTGATTTTTTTGTTTGTTTGTTTTAATGTTTACTCACTAGCTTTGCCAGAGAGGTATAAATCTTTCTTTGTAGATGGGGGGAAAAATTCAAAGTATTTTTTGCTCTTTGCCTGATGTCCTTCTAAGCATAGCCCTAGGGTCCCTACTTCAGCTAAAAGTAAATCCCTCACCATTTCTCTGCTTTCTCACAAAGGCTTATTGGAGAGTGAAATTTAGATTATTCAGGGTCTCCTCTCCTTGTCACTCCTAAAGTCAAATATTTTAATTTTAATTTCCAGAGTTTTCTTGGTCATCTTTCTGGTCAAATAAGAGGTAACAGAAAAGCATGTGGAAGATAGAAAGATTCCAGTGTTCTACCAATGTGTAGAATCCTGATCCCTTATCTACTGTGCCTAGCTCTCCTGGGGTAGTATTTGGAATCTGTAAATCTTCCCTTCTTTTCAGGATGGTGAATTTTATTTAAAAAAAGCAGGGGGGAGGGGTCAGTGATTAAACTTGGGAGTTAGATGAACTTGGGATTGAATCATAATCCTGTCACTTGCTAGCTCTGTGACCTTGGACAAGTTTTCAGAGCATCAATCAGTTAACTTCATTTGTAAAGTGGAAATGATAGAACCTGCCTCTTAGAATTGTCCTAGAGTTTAATGAAAGTATAGTAGAATACTTACATGGTACTTGGCAAATGAGTAATTTTTAATAAACAGTATCTGTGAGTTTTATGTCTAAGGATTTCTAGACAGTGCTGCTGGGTTTACTGAGATTCTCCCCTTTCTAGGAATGATTTCTTTGTAGATTTTCTCACATTTACTGTTTGTTTTCTTATAGTATCTGTTGAGTTACTACCCTTAGTCTCCCAATGTTCCATGATGTCCCAGACTATCTTTAGAGACTAGAAGCATTCTGAATCTTCTTAGGCTAACTCCTCCCATCTGAAACAGGAGCAAAAACGATATCCCTAAAAATGTTAAAAGTCATCATTCTCCCTTATTCTTAAACATACCTGTAACCTCATATCATTGCTTACTTTACTCAAAACTGTATTTAAACTAGTTGATGCTTTTTATAACTCCAGAAATTTTTGAAGGCAGAAAGAAATGCTAGGTTTAGAATCTAGTTAATTTCCTTCTGATTGTTGTGCAACTCTAGATTTAGGTGGAGTCATAATTAGGTAAGGTGAGTGCCACTCTAAAAAAATAAAAACATGATATGTTGAGGATTGCCCTCATATTCTTAGATTGCCTTGTCATTTGCGAATCTCACATTTGTGACTGTGAGTAGCTTAATAATTTCCCCCCTTAATTAAATTTTTGGGAAACTGCATCAGGCACTAATAGTAATATGCAATATTTGGCCAGGCTTATTTACCAGTTAAGGTGATGTACTTTCAGATCACAGCCACGTAGTTCAATTTTATGTTTCACAAAAGTACAAATAATTATGTTATGGAGTTTGGTTATTCATAAAGTCAAAATAAATACTGATATTCAAATGTCATCTGTAATAAAACTTATTGACATCTTTTTAAAATATTAGACTAAGAAATAGTTAATTACTTTAGTTTCCAACATAAGTTCCAAGTAATATAATACAAAATATGAATTGGATCAAAAATAGGGTTATCAGAATCTTCCTCTCAATTTTATAAGCTGGGGTAATTTTATTTTTCTAGCTCCAAATTGCCACATTGCTACAAATGAAAGGGTCTCAGACTGAATTTGAGCAGCAAGAACGGTTGCTTGCCATGTTGGAGCAGAAGAATGGTGAAATAAAACATCTTTTAGGAGAAATTAGAAATCTGGAGAAATTTAAGGTATGTGTTACACTTTAAAAAAAAACACAGCCAAAATTTGTTTTGAATTTGGTTTGTATTTTATGTTATTTTTTTTTTCTATGCTTGCACTAAGTGGGGATGTATTTTATGTTAAAAATATCATTTTTTTTTTAAACTTAAATGAGTTTATTATATAATTCACTTTTGGTTTCAGTAGATTGATCCAATATTTAAATTTTTTTTTTCTGGTCTCTTTTTGCTTTTCAGTATTTTTTACTGTTGCTTATTTTAGTAGAGCCAAACTAACCCACTGCATTTTTGTTGTTACTGTCTGATCTTTGTGTGTAAGCATCCATTGCTTCAATAAACCACTCAATGAGTTTTAACATATAAATAACCCCTTGTAATTATCACCCAGATCGTGATATAGAACATTTCTAGCACTGCAGAAAGGCTCTGTCAAGTCCCCTTTTAGTACCCCCACCTCCTTTGTATCTGCAACACATATACAAACGCTCTTGAACTTTATATAAGTGGAATCATATGAAGTGGAATCATAATCAGTATATACTTTTGTTTCTGTCTTCAACTTAACGTTGTGTCAATGATGTTTCTTCCTCTTGCATGTTATCGGGAATTATTTTTCAATGCTGTTCCCCTCCATTTTTTAACGGAGTTTTGTCACATTGTCCAACATTGTATGACAACTGGTATTCATGGTAGAAGTCTTAATAAACTCCTAAGTTTTATTTTGAAATAAATTCAGATTTGAGAAAGGTTGTAAAAGTATTCTTATTATATACCCTTCTCTGAGATTCCCCAGTTGTCAATTTTTACACATTTGTTTCATTGCTTTCTCTTTTTCTCTGTATGTATATATTTTTTAAACATCTGAGAGTAACTTGCAAACCATATGTCTTTTTACTCATGAGTACCTCATGTTATTGAAGTCTATTCTCTTACATAATCACTACAATAATTCAAATCAGGAAATTAACATTGATACAAATTGAATCATACTATTAGCTAAGCTACTTTTCACATTTTATTAATTACCACTAATATCCTTTAGAGCAAAATAAACAAAAAAACAAATGCTTTCAGTTTTAGGGTCCAGTCCAGAATCACATATTGTATTTAATTATCGAGTCTCTTCAGTCTCCCTTAATCTGGAATAGTTCCTTAGTTTTTATCCATCATGACCTTGACATTTTTGAACAGCACAGGCAGTTACTTTGTCCTTCATTTTGGGTTTTTCTGATGTGATTAGATTCAAGCTGTGTCTTTGAGACAGGACTACTACAGGAGTAGTAGTAGTAATCACAGCCTTCTCAGTGCATCACATTCAGGGACACATTGGTGTCTATTTGTGTCAATATAGGTAATGGTAACCTTGATTGCTTGGTTAAGGTTTTGTCTGCCAGGTTTCTCCACTGTAAAGTTATCATTTTTCCTTTTGTAATTAATTTTTCCTTTGTAATTTATCTCCCAGTGATACCTTAGGAGATGCTTTAAGACTAAATAAATGCCTGTTTCTCCTTATACTTGAACATCCATTGATGATTCTTGCCTAAAACAGACAATACTGTGATGATTGCCAAATGATAATTCTGTGATTTCTTCTACATTTATTAGTTGGAATTCTAATAAAGGGATGGGAAAGAACATTCTTCCTGATTTATCCATTCATTTATTTATATCATCATAGTCTCATGGATTCTTATTTTATCCATTATAATCCATTACTTTCCTTATTTACTCTGATATTCACATTGTCCCAGATTTGGCCAGTAGGGACACTTCCTTATTTTCGGCACATAATTCTTTGAGTACTTCCTTGCTTAATGGCACAACAAAGTATTCCTAGTTCACTGCCCCAGCCCTGGAAGCAGCATTTCTGCAAGTAGCACTGGTTTCTTTTAGTGGAGACTGGTGTTTAGAAACCAACCTCTGGGCACCAGGTGTGTTCATCGTTCACTGCTTCTACAATGCCATCACTTCTAGACCTTCTCCGCAGACAGAACCAAGAGTACATGTTTGTATATTTATGTGTGTGTATGTATGTACATATATATATACATATTTCTCTATGAGTGAGGTTAAACATGTTTTCATATGTGTATTTTTTGTGTGTGCTTGTGTGTACATATGTAGAAGAATTCACCCATGTTTCCTACTAGTACCTGTATGGTTTCACTGTTTTCATTTAGAAACACGATCCCCATTGAAGTTTACTTTATGGGTGATTTGAGGTATAAATCTAATTTTATCTTCTTCCAAATAACCAGGCAGTTGTCCCAGCATCTGGACATTTTGTTAAAAAGTCAATCTTGGCCCCAGTGACTTGAGATGCCACCTTTAGCATATATCAAGTTTCCATGTATACTTCAGTCTATTTCTAGTTTTTCTATTTTGTTCCACTGCTCTACTTATCTGTGTGTCAGTACCACATTGTTTTAATTATTGGGGTTTTGGAGATAGCTTTTCTTTTTCAGTGTTCTCCTGGCTATTCTTACACATTTGTTTTTCTCTATGAGTATCTTGTCTAGTACCAAAAATGCTTGTTGGTATTTTTATTAGAATTATATTAAATTTAGAATTTTATAAATTAACTTAGGAAGCATTAATACCTTTTCACTAACATCCTAGGGACTTAAAGTTTATAAATGACAAATTTTTGTAAATGTTTATAACCTCTTAGGTATTCTAAATTGTAGCCATTAGTGTGAAGAATTTTAAGTTTCATAACTTTATTCTCTCTTATAATATAAAACTGTTAAAAGGGCTGCAATTTTGGTTAAGTTTATAGTATATCAGTTGGCAGGTGTATGTAGTAGTCCATCAATGGGCTTAGCACTATATTTTGAAGATTATGGCCTTAAATCAGGGGGCTTTTCTTTGCAATCTCTGAAAATTTTTTTGCAAGTTTTTAAGCAGATTTACCCTTTTTCCCCCAGAGAAATGAGTTTCCATTAGAATCTCAGATGAGGGACTCCAAAATAACTTGAAGAATCTCCTCTTTTGTTCATATTTTTCCAATGTATGACTTTAACTTAAAGGCCAGAATTCAACTCAGCAAGCATTTATTCCATTTTTTAAAGCCAAGAGAGGGAAATTATAGGATATAGCTGTGGTTAGGAACATAGGCTTTGGAGTCAGATCTGGGTTTAGATTCTCTCTTCTCAATTTATTTCTCTGTGGTGTCTTAAGTCAGTCTTTGTGTCTGTAAGAGAGTAATACTAATTCTTACCTATTTCAGAAGGCAGATGAGTTAAATGGATAGTTCTTAGCATAGTGCCTGCCAAATGATAAGTATTCGATAAGTGGGGGTACTGTTATTAATAGACTAACCTAATTTGTTATTTTAAGTAACAATATTTGCTTTTTATTTTTAGAATTTATATGAAAATATGGAATCTAAGCCTTCAGCTAGCTCTGGTGCTCTGGAAGATAATACCTATTATACAGATTTACTTCAGATAAAACTTGATAACTTAAAGTAAGTGTCTGGGTTGGTGGATGGAAAGATGGAGACTTTGCACTGCTTATAATAGTAGTAGGAGTGACTAAAAATTTTTGTTTTGAAATTGCCAAAAGAAAATTCCAGAAAAGAAAGGCAATAAAAACATTTTATTCAAGATATAGTAATTACTGATTATTGAAGAAAAAATACTTTTAATAAATAATTGAATGTTTTTGTGTTTAGCTTTTTATATTGGTAAATGAAAAGAACTTTAACATAGAAAGTGTTCCTATAATAGAAATTTTTCAAGAATAAATATTATGTAATTTAAGACTTAAAGGAATTTATGCATGAATAAATTTGGAAAAGAGTATTTCCCTCTTTGTCCATTTCCTTTAAAGAATACATGGAGTTTTTTGAGGGTGGGCGTGGGGGCAATACTATTGTTAAAGCTTATTTTAATTGTTTATTATTTCTTTGTTACTAAAAACCCTAGAGAAATATATTTTAACTGTGAATTTAAATATGCAATAAAATATTTATAACACTACATTCATTTATATTGTATATTACTTTAATACTTCTTGGTTTTCCTTTTTTATTATTACAGCAAAGAAAATGAAAGCACTAAAGGTGAATTGTCCATACAGCGAATGAAAGCATTATTTGAAAGCCAACGGGCTCTGGATATTGAACGAAAACTTTTTGAAAATGAAAGATGCCTCCAGCTTTCAGAAAGTGAAAATATGAAACTGAGGGCCAACCTAGATGAATTAAAACTGAAGTATGAACCTGAAGGTGTGTATTTCTCACATATTTTTGTCTTTTAAATCATGAATAATTTTGAGAAATTATATCAATTTTTTTTCTTACTATAGTTTTATACAAATGCCATTACTAACTAATTTGTGGTTATGGATCTATAGTTAATAAAGCAAATTTATTGCTGTAAAATGTGTAGGAAAATTCAAAAAACTGGTTACTGGGTATACATGAATGTAATACACTTTTTGGATATCTAAATTCATCATAGAAATTTGACATTTGAGACTTTTCCATTTAACTCTTTGTCCTCGGATGTCGAGTGTGACTCGACACAGTTAGCAAAAATTATAGAGATTAAAATTACTCTTTGAATGTATCAATAATTTGAAATATTAAAAAATTTACATAAATAAGTTTGTATGAAAAGAAACTCCAGTTTTTTATTCTACTGCCATTCTTTGTAAAATCTGGGGTATTTAAAAAATTAAATCCCAAGTAGAATAAAGGAATCAAGAAAAAAGCAAGCAAGTGCAAAGGGTTAAGATTGCAGTATCTTATGTCATACCAAAGAGCTTCATTTTGTTGAAGTAGCTAATGTTTGGGAGCTATACTAGTTTGGACTGTTTATAGAAAAACCTAACATAATGGGGATGTCAACAAGATAGATGTTTATTCCTGCCCTGATGAAAGCCTGGCGGAGGCATTCCAGGACTAGTGAATCACTCCAGTGTCAGGATTCAGGCTTCTTATGTGCTGTTGGTCTGCTGCCTTCCCATTGAGAAGAATTTAGTCATGTGGCCTTACCTGCCTACAGGAAAGGCTGGGAAATACAGTCTTGATTCTCAGAGGCCATGTTCCCAACTAAATAATGAAAATTCTTTTATTAAGGAAAAATAAGATAGATACGAGGCAACATCTAACAAGTCTAATCAATGACATAGAAAATAGCCTAACCATATAATCTCTGCATGTTATATAGTACAAAGAGCAAATTTTACTGTATGTAAAGTAAAAAAAAGGCCAAATGTAAAGAAGTCTGAGAATATGATGATTCTAAAACACCTTCCCAAAATGTGTTGTTACATGTTTTGGGTTAAGGATTCTCAACCAGTGTTTGCCCTTATACTCTTCGCATGCCTAACTCTCTCTTCATTATTGTCTCAGTGAACCACAGTGATTACTCAACAATATTGGCGAGGTTGTTAGAAATAGGAAGGTTTTATACAGTGTTAAAAGGCTTTTCTTTCTCCTCATTGTTTTTCTCTTGCCTGATTCTAATAGACTATGCTGATTAAGAATAATCCATTATGAATTTCTAAGGTCTGTTAAACTGAACACAGCAAAGAGATAAGAGGCAGGGTTGTGAGTCTATATGATGTGGGTTTAAGAGAAAGGAGAAATGATGATCTAAAAGCAACAGTGTAGAGCAAGAACACCAACCTTTCCTACCATGGTTCCTCAGACTCCACTGACATTTTGATTTTGAAAATGAAATACACATTGATAAGGGGGTAGGGAAAAGATTAGAGCAGTTAATTCAGTGAGTGTGTGGGATAGAATGACTTTAGACCAGGAAGATAGAAGGCCATTGCAGTAGTCTCCAATGAGACAGTATGGTTGGCCTAGAGAGGTATTCATTATAAAAGTAGTCCGATTCTGAATATATTTTGTAAGTGGCAATAAAAGACATAAATTACCAATATGCAGAGAGTTTGACCTGTTCCTATCATTTAATCCTTACAGCACACAATGCTGATGTAGTGGGTGCTTTTAATTCCCATTTTACAGATAAAGAAAATGAAGCTCAGAGAGAGTAAATATTAATAATTCCTCATGCTCACCCAGCTGCTAAGTACTAGTACTAGAATTTGAACCTGGACATGAACTCCCACCCCCTTTATCAAAACACCAGAGGAAAATATTTAAGTGTTTATTCTTAGAGCCAAGTTTATTGATTCCCAAGCAAAGATTTATAAATGAACTTTAAAAGATACAGTTTATAGAATCCATGATAATAAAGAATAAAAAATAGAAATAATATATTTCAGGAAGGAGATGAGTGGATTTTAAAAGAATGAAAAAAATGTAAAGAGGTATATAAATAACTAGTTCTGCTTTCTTTTGTTGATTGTGTCTTTGTTTTCTTTCACTGACTGGATCTTTTTTAATGGTTTTTATTCTCAGAGACAATTAAAGTACCTGTACTCAAAAAGAGGCGTGAGGTGCTGCCCGTGGATGTAACCACCTCTAAAGATGGATGTGCCAACAACAGTGCTGTCGGAGAAGTGGATAGATTACCGCTTCAGAACGAGGAGACACAGTCTTGTCCTAACAATTTAGAAAATAACAACTTGCAGTTAGAAAAATTGGTTTCTATAAACACACCACTAGTCCATCTCTCTCCTCACAAAAATCTGCCCATGGATACACCACCAAGGAAGGAAAAGAAATGTGTGAAGCTCATAGGAGTTCCAGCTGACTCTGAAGCCTTAAATGAAAGAAGCGGAAACACCCCCAACTATCCCAGGTCAGTGTCCTCTTTTCTGCAGGGCAACCAGCAGACCTCTCCATCTCTCCTCTCTAGCTGCGTGAACTGTGCTATCTATTTCTTCATCTATTTTCTTAGTATTGCATGCAGTGTAATCCCCCAGTTTCACCTGCCTACCTTTAACTTTTCCAAAACTTTAAGAAAGACTAAAATGATTGCAAGGGGAAAGGACTCTTGAATAAAAGAATCATTTTAAAAGTTAGACATTTCTGTGTTATGAAACAAATATCACAGACTAATACATCTCTGAATGTTTTGTCGGTTTGAATAAATGTACTGTTATTTTTCTCCTGGTTCAAGAGTGGCCATGAAAGAAAGATTAACTTACCTTCTTAAAGGTACTCTTACAGTAGTCTAAGAAATTTCAGCCCTCTAGAAAACTTAGGTGAAATTTTTATGGCTTTTGAAGTTGTTTATCCTAAGTCTTCAAGAATGTTCTTTGAGACATATTTTGACATTTTAAAATGTCAAAGCTAATTCATTTTCATTGTTTCCAAAGCTTGAAAGCCTCCAGTTCTGCATAATTGAGTTTTTGACTAAAAGAAGTGTCAGACATGTGTGCCTGAAGGAATTAATGTTCCAAGGGACTTGTCCTTTAAAAAAATAAAAATAATGGAGGTCAGAAGGTAAGAGAAAGTGAGTAGAAGGGGAAGGTAGGTAACAGTGGCTAAGGCTAGAGTTTCAGATGTGCACAGCAGGACCAAGAGTAGGGTAGGAAAAGAAGTGTATTGAGGGAGATGGAAAGTAAAAGAAAGGTGAAAGATGTAGGATGTCTGCATGCAATGGGATGATAGATGCATTTATAATAAATGTCTTTAAATATTTAAAAAAGTAAGGATATTGCTGTGATGGTAGCTAGCTTTGATTGTCTCCTATGAAATGATATTTTTAAGATGCTACTAGGGCTACATTAGTCTAAGAGAAGTACAAAATAAGACATTTTACTAATGTGCATTTGAGTAGAAAGAGTATGCTACAGCCCACCTTATGTAAATAGGCTTCCTTATTTTTTATCTGATTTCTCTTCAAGTCTTCAGTGCTACTAAATGTAGTATTCAACAAGCAAAGCACTTCAATGATGTTTAGCTGCTAGTATTATTATTATAAGGAAGAGTAATTTATTACTCCCCTCCTTGAATTTTTATATGATGTTACAACCTGGAAGTTACATAAAATTAAAGCATGATATTGTTAAGGAAAAGTAACTGCAAATGAATGATATCTGCCACATACACATGATTCTAAATAGTTCTGAAATTAATTCAGTGGGTTATGTCTGTTTATATGTGATTCATTGTGTGAGTGTGCTTTACCAGTGTGTATTTCTGCAGGTGATTTCCAGAATTGATTAGTGCCAACCTTGCTATCTGTGTGGTCTTCACTTCTTTTTCTGCCTCTTTTTGCTTAATAAAAATTACTTAAGCAATGTACGTAGCTATTGTTTGACTCAAGTAGCACGTTGGAAAATTTTTGTCTTGCTAGTTAAGCAAAAATCAAATAAAATACCACAAAACATTTGTTTTTGTGTGTGTGAGTCCATCTGCTAACTTAAGATGTTTCAAATCTTTTATTTCCTGTGTGCCTAACTTAGACACACAATCCTAAACTAATTTTGGAATAACAAATATGGGTTTTATTGTGAACTTCACTATTGCATGTTTTATAAATTAATTGATTTGTTACAAAGAATCTTTACAGTGCTGTTTAAATATCTCCACTGTTTATTTTTTCTAAAACAATTATTCTACTAGTAGAAACTCAATTTTTTAAAATTTGAGACAAATACACATCTATTTATGCAGCATAGGATTCCATGTTATTTTTATCTTGCGCTTAGCCTTCTGTATGTCGTGTTAACATTAAAACATTGCCCTAGCATTTTAACCGCTTCAGTACGAGTGTCCGGTATAGTCGATAGCCACAGATGAATGTGCACAGCCCAGCATCGACTTTAGCCGACAGCCGTGATATGAAGGCGCACAGCCTAGCGTTGACTTTAGCGTTAATAACAAAACTTGACTTTTCTAGTTTTTTATTTATCAAAATACAATTGTGAACATTTAAAAATAATGTAATAAAAACATATATGTGTATGTTACCTATTCTGATTTACATTACAAGTAAAGGTGCCTGTAAAGTAAAACAAGCTTTCAGTGCTTTAAAGCTTTCTTCATCACACAAAAGCAAAATGGATTTGTCATCAATGCATAGCACAAACTATCATGGGGACTATGAGTGCCAGCTGTGGGCAAGGTTTCACAGCCAGTGAGCGCTGTACCGAAGTGGTTAATTTTTGTGTTAGGTATGTTTATCATGGTAGGTACCCTATCATGTTTTAATTCTTTTGTTTTCTAGAGATAGGATCTTGCTCCGTCACCAAGGCTGGAGTGCGGTGGCATGATCACAGCTCACTGCAGCCTCAAACTCTTGGGCTCAGGTAGTCCTCCCACCTCAGCCTGCCATGCTACAGGCATGCGCCATCACACCCAGATAATTTTTTGGGTAGAGACAGGATCATACTATGTTGCCCAGGCTGTTTTTGAACTCCTGACCCTCAAGCATTCCTCCCACTGCAGCCTCCCAAAGTGCTGGGATTACAGGAGTGAACTGCTGCACCTGGCCTTAATTCTTTAATTTAGGCCTTGCCATGACCTTTTACTGGCCTTAAAGATATTCAATCTTTTGAAATATTGAGCCTATTGATAGTAAAAGTTTCTTTCAGAGAGTCAGTGACTTGGTATTTTTCATGGTATTAGAGTAAACTATAATTTTTTTCCTTGCATACGTAAAAACATACATCACCATACCTCATTGGAGGCCTATTAAACTAGGAGTTTGTTTCTTTAATTTTTCTTAACCACATTTGAATTCAGAGTGGATGCTTTAATGCCTGTAGGTTAGCTGCTGAATCAAAGCGTCAAACAGAAGTTAAAGAAGGGAAAGAAACTGCAAGCAAATTGGAAAAGGAAATTTGTAAGAAATCACACCCAATTTTATACGTCTCTTCCAAATCAACTCCAGAGACCCAGTGCCCTCAACAATAAAGACTTTTCTTTAATGAGAGTATAGTACCACTTACTGTGGTGCTTAATTAAGATCATCTTTATGTGACATTTACCACCTTCTGGGTTATTTATGTCTGTTTATTGTGCCAGGACCTGGCATTTTTATATTTCTTTCACCATATGTTCAAAATTTGATTGTGATTCTAACCTGGGGAGTTCCTTAAGTGATAAGCCTTCATGAAGCTTCTATTGCAGTGAATAAAGTATTAACCGAAGGAAAATGCTATGATTAATATATAATTGCTGCTTTGTATATGAATTTTTTTAAGTGATATAAACACTTGAATAACCTACCTTCAGTTCCATTTGTTTGAGAAGTAACTATTATATTTTCCTACTATTTTATAAACTTAGTTTTTCACTATGTTGTAAAAATAGGAAACTTGGTTTAAAAGTATATATTGTTTCAGGATTCTGTCAAGGTACCTATGTTTATCTGTGTATTTATATAAATGATTTAAATTTTATGTTTCCAGCATACAAAATAACTAATTTTAAAATTTAAAATAAAACTAAACTGCAATAATTTCTCCCCTTTCTATTTTCTTACTGAGTATTGATAATAGGATGTTGTTAAAATGGAATAAAGAAGAAGACAAACTTCAGAGATTCTTAATTCTCAGATACATATAATTTTATATAATTTATATATATTATTAGATGTATATATGCAGATTGTCCCTGACGTAATGATGGTTTGGCTTAATTATTTTGCAACTTTACAACAGTGCAAAAGCACCAAACATTCAGTAGAAACTGGACTTCCAGTACCCATAAGACCATTCTGTTTTTTACTTTCAGTTTCAGTGTGCTAGTCAATAAATCACATAAGATATTCAACATTTTATTATAAAATAAGCTTTGTGTTAGATGATTTTGCCAAACTGTAGGCTAATGTAAGTATTCTGGGCACATTTTTGGTAGGCTAGGCTAGGCTGTGATGTTCAGTAGGTTGAGTGTATTAAATATGTTTTCAAGTTACGGTATTTTCATTTTATAATGGGTTTATTGGGACATAACCCCATTGTGAGTCAACAAGCATCTGTACGTATATATTAAAAAGGTATATACTTAACATTTCCAAATAGAGACCTTTTTTCATTTAAGTGATTATAGATTGGTTTATAACTTAATTTCATATATATATTCTATAAGTGGGTGAATTTGGATTCTCTGGAGAAATAGAACCAATAGTGTGTATATCTATAGAAAGATTTATTTTCAAGAATTGCCTCACGTGATTATGGAGGCAAGGCCAAATTTGCAGGATGAGTTGGCAGGCTGGAGACCCAGGGAAGGGAAGAGCTGATGTTGAGTTTAAGTCTGAAGGCCATTTGGCGGATTCCCAGAGAAGAGGTGACGTTGCAATTCAAGTCCAAGGGTTATCTGCTGCAGAATTCCCTCTTGCTGGGGACATCAGTCTTTTGTTCTCTCTAAGACTTAAGCTGATTGGATGAAGCCCCCTCATACTAAAGAGAACAATTTTCTTTACTTAAAATCTACTTATTTAAATGCTAATCTCATCCAAAAACACCCTTGGGGCAACTCAGAGTAATGTTTGATCACATATCTGGGCACTGTGGGCCAGCCAAGTTGATATAAAAATTAACTGTCACAATGGGTATCTGTTCCAGTTTAAGTCTATTGAAATATATTAGGTAAAAGGAAATTGCCTATAACATCTAAATAAATTATAAACTTGTTTTAATTTCCTGCAAAAAACATTCTCTAAGGAAATTAGAATGTTCATATTTAATAATACCTCTTGGAAAAAGAAGTAGCTGAAGGCACTAGGGAACAAATAATTCTAACCTGAGGATAATATCAAATGAGTGACCATATATTCATACTGCATATTAGAAAATGTAGATCAAGTCCTTCCAACATTGAGTTCTTTTTTAAGTATCGTGGGGGTACAAATGCCTTGGTTACATAAATTGCCTTTCCACTGCTTGAATCAGAGCTACAAGCATGCCCATCCCTCAGAGAGCTCACACCACACCTGTTAGGTGTGAGTTTACCTATCCCCTCCTCCCTCCCTCCCACTTGCCTGACACCCTATGAATGTTACTTTCATATGTGTGCATAAGTTTTAATCAGTTAGTACCAATTTAATGGTGAGTACATGTGTTTGTTTTTCCATTCTTCCAATACTTAAAAGAATGGGCTCCAGCTCCATCCAGGATAGTACAAGAGAAATTAGTTCACCACTTTTTTATGACTGAACAGGTACTCCCTGGTTGTGTGTGTGTGTGTGTGTGTATCACATTTTATTAATTCACTCATGTATTGATGGGCACTTATTAAGAGCTATGTGCTAGGGATATAAAAAAAAACCCTCAGAGCTCACAGTTTAATACACCCATGTTGATGAATAGTTGTAGTGATGGTATTACTAGTAACAGTTAAACTTAACATTTGGACAAATCTAATGTGCCAGGCACTCTTCCAAGGCCTTTCATGTATTACCACATTAAACCTTCCCAATAGCTCTGTGAGCTAGACATTACACTTAATCCCCATTTTAAAGAGGAAACCAAGGCCCTAGAGAGGTTTCTTGTTCAAGGTCACAGGTGTTAATAAATGACAAGAACATTAAAGTAGTAGAGGTTGTAATAGCGGAGTGTACACAGTGCTATAGGAACAGATAGAGGAAAACAAACAGCCTAGGAGCTTTATAGATTTTGTCATCTCTGAGCAGAGGCTGTTTCTGAGGTCTGTTGAGACACGGAGAGGAGAGCATTACAAGTAGAAATAGCTGTTCAAAGAATAAAGACATGAAACAACATTTCTGATTCAGCAAACTGAACACCTAGAAATGGCTGAAAATGTAGGGCTTGTGAATAGCGATAATAGTAAATGAAATCTGGATAGATAGCTGGTAGTGACATCATGAAGAGCCTGAATTTGGGAAATCCTTTTACAAAAACTTAGGCAGACATATAAACACATGAAGCAACACACTGAAGGTTGAAGAACAAGGATGACAAGGGAACATCCATTCAGCTTCTGTCTTATCACCCTTAAGAGACAGGCAATTCTACTGAGTCTTGAGTCTTCTAGGAATATATTTTGAAAAATCATCACTGTAAGTGATGAGAAGCAACTGAATAATTGATATAAGCAAAATTGTACTGTCATTCAGTTTATTTTTGGTAAAAAGTCCAAGAGCATAATGGAAAATAGAAAAAGATAAGAATGGAGGGGGGGGGACTAGTTTGGCTGTTCGATAGTCCAGGTAGGAAATACAACTACAAACGGAGGCAGTGGTAGTGGGAATGTAGAGTGATAATTGGATTCAAGATAGTGTTTAAGAGGAGCAGAGGGGTCAGAAGCTGTAGACATAAGATGTGGGACTCTGATGTTGGCGGATAAGTGGTGTTGGTAACAGAAAATGGGAGGAGTGGAAGTGTTTCAGTTTGATGAACACGTTTAGTACCTGTGGTGTGTTCAAAAATAAGTATCAAACTTTTATTTTGTAAGGAAAATGTAAGACTAACTTGGAATCCTGTTCCAGTAGGCACATTCCCCCCCCCCCCGCCATCATTACTGAAAAAGTGACCTTGTTGGTCAAATGTTTATAATCATACCCTTGATTTTTTTTTTCTTTTTTCACTATTAGACATAACGAGCCCTTCATATGTCTAGGTCCTTCAAGTGTGGTCTTTTGAATCCAAATTTTACAGAACAAATCCTTTTATTAAAAGAGGTGCAGCAGAGAAAGATGAAGCTTTTCTTGCCTCCGCAGATGCCAAGTCATGCAGGCTGGTGTCAGTTCCAGCAGCCCAGGGACCACGGAGTTCTCCCCACCCCACCCCACGCTCAGGTCCCACTAAGGCAGTTGCGCAAAGCTTCCCTGGTAGAGTCTCTAGCACCTGAGGCAACTCCTCTGCTCAAATCCCACTGTGCTGGCTGGAAGGTGTGCTTGGCTCTCAGTCACAGGGTACACTCAGGGGAGTATCCACTATGGCTGCTCCTGCAGTCTGCG